ACACACACACACACACACACACACACACACACACACACACACACACACACACACACTCTGTAGGTCCCGGTGCCAGCTTCTTTGATCTTTTTAGTGAAAAATAAACAAAATAGTTGTAATTTTTTCTTTTTTCAGCCGTCAGTCTGGGTTGGTTTCTGTCACTTTGAGCCCTTTTCTCTTCATGAGGCTGAACAAGTTGAAATAAACCCCCACTTCTTCTACAGTTGATCAAATCTGTCCTGTTTTTTCTCTCCAGTCCAGCAGAAACACATCCGACCTGAAGCTACACGAGTTTCATCCATTTCCTCTTATTTTTGAAAATATGTCTCTCTCACTGTGTGTGTGTGTGTGTGTGTGTGTGTGTGTGTGTGTGTGTGTGTGTGTGTGTGTGCGCGCACGGGGAGCAGGGGTTCTGCTGGAACTCAAATGTTTCTTTGTTTGCCACCAGTCAGTGACTCATTTTCAAGATGTTGTCTGCTGCCAGCTTCAAACCGGAAGCTCATGGTAATTAGTCTGCGCGCTCCAGACAAACCAGAAAGTCTACTACAGGCTTTTAAAGGAGCCACCACCGAGTTTTAACCCCCTCCTGCTACACTAACCTGATTTTCCTCTTTTTGTTTTCTAGTTAAAATAAACTTAAAAAAAAACTACGACTGTTTGAAGGTCAGAGCTGTTTTGACGCAGCTTTAGCTGGTTTTAYGCGCAGGTTGAACCATTTTACGCACGACTTGGATGCACTTAAAGTTGACAGGATTAATTTGACCACTTCTGGGTTTTATAAGACGTCATACAAATTATTTTAGGACTTTTCTTCTTTGCAAGTTCCGTGTAAGTTGAGAAAGTTGGAGACGGATGGAAACATGGCACCTACCCAGCTGTGGACGGCCGCTGCTCCTCGGTGCGTCTGTCCGCGCGCCTTCTGTGCGTTTGTGTCTTTAAAGTGGTGTGTGTGTGTGTGTTGTGTTGGGGGTCCATGCTGCTGCCGCTGCCCCGCGGACTGAAAGCGGATCCGCAGCTTTTTCTCTCTCCTGCCTCAGAGCAGGAAGTCGCGGCGCGCAGACTGAGAACCAGCGCACTTCCTCTGGACCAGTATTCCCGTCTGCGTAAACACGCGCACGAGCTGTTTCCCATAAACACACCCCTTTAACCAGTCTCTCTCTCTCTCTCTCTCTCTCTCTCTCTCTCTCTCGTGCGCGCGCACACACACACAACCGAGCCAACAGACAACTGACGTCACTCTCTTCCTGCTCACCAGGAGGTGTTCCTGTTTCTGCACAGACGCGCACAAACAAACACTCTGAACCTTCCGGTAAATTGAAATTATTTTTGCAGCTTAAAAAAGTAACAAGTTTGCTGTTGTGTTCAAAGAAGTGTTCAGATAATAAAATAATGATTAAAAAAAACACATTGAGTTGGATTATTTTAACAGSAAATGCATATTTTGTTAAAAAATACTTGTTGTAAAGTGTGAAATAAACATAGAAGTTTATCCTGAACTTTCTCAAACAGTGCTGTTTAATGGAGTTTACTTTGGAAGTTTTCCAGATAAACTGATATATTATCCTGAAATGTGGGTCTGCACTTGATGTAAACAAATGCAAATTAAGCAGCTGTCGCCTGTGTAACAAAAATGGACAATTGTGAACTTTTTTTCGGTAATTGTGACTGTTTTTGTAGGTAAACAAAGACAAGTGGAAAATTTTTAACAAGCTGCAAAAAAAGTTAATTTGGACTCAAATGGGAATAATGTTGTGGCTTTGCATTGGGTACATTTAAACTCGTTCAAACTTGTTTTCCTATTTACACACACACACACACA